GCAACAGTTAATAGAGTTCAGGTTTTTACAGGTGCTGATTGAGGGAAACACTACAATTAAAAGTACAATTACAGTTAAAAAAAAGCCCCTTACTTCATGTTCAGTGTTCTGCTGCATGATGTTTCTTGCAAATATCAATGATTTAGTGATGGAATTTAGCCTTTTCTGCACCTTACACTTTGGTTTTACAGGACAAAGTCTGTGATGACAGAACTTCCGTAAGGTTTTCCTTCCTTGCTCCCTCTTCCTCCTTCCTGTCACCTTACTGCACTACATCACTTCAGTTGTGCAGGAGCAAATATTTATACAGCTATATTGTTAATTGGATCAGTAGCTTAACTGACTTTAAAAAAATACAGAACATGAGGTTGTTGCTTTGGTTTTTGCTTAATCTAGATTGAAATGCTTTGTTTTGGTGACATAGCCCTAGCTACTGTTTTGTAAAATTATCATAATATTTTTATTATTTCAGTTCAGGAAGTTAAATATTATACATTTTGAAATTTTTGGACAAAACGCTGTTTAAGATAAGTATGTATCAGTTTAATCAACTACATTTTGAGGTTGCTTCGTATTAGTAGTTCTTTAAGCCTGACTGTGAAAATAAGAAAAGAAGCCCTTCAGCTTTCAAATCAACAAGATCAAGTAAACCACAACAATAGAAGCATCTTTACCCTGAGGGTTTATTGCCCTGCAGGAGATGTGCTCTAAGTGACTTGTTCAACTTCAGGCAGAGAATCTTCTAATACAAGTGCTTCGTTTACAAACTTGGGAAAGAAATGAATGCTAACTAGATTGGTTTTACTTTTTGGTTAGATTGGTCCTGTAAACATTTGCTTAGACCTAAATAGAAAATGGAAACTGACAGTGTATTTCTAAAAATAGATCCACAGGTGTATTTGGAAAATGGGTTGAAAATAATGAAAGGGCAGCTCAAATTAACGAGGATTAATTTTTCAAATAATTTTACTGAAACTACCAAAACTTAAACTTTAGTGTTTAAGGAAAAGAAAATTTGAGAATCTAATTTGATTCTGTAAAGTCTAGACTTTCAGTCTGGGAAAGCATTTTCTGAAGTGATCTCTTTAGTGAAAATACATTGTCTTATGGAAGAGATCCACTGTATGCTGGGAGAATTTTGGTCATGTTTCCTGACTTATAAAATTTATGAATTCCAAAGATAAATGTGGTTTCTGTTATGGGCAACGTCAGGAACTGGGTTAGGATTGCCCAAACTGCCAGATAAAAACAGAATAACAGCTAAGTTGGCTTCTGGGTCTTTTTTTTTTTTTTTTTTTTGATATTAAAAATATTACTCAAGGAAAAGATCTGAACTTTTAAAAATAGTCATTTCTATTGCTGCATACATAAGCTGCTTCTATCTGAATTGATAAACAAGCAAGCAGCACATACTTGAAGGAAAGTGTCTGCTGCTAAAAGAAATTAACAAAAGAAAATTCTAAATTTGCATACATTGTCAACGCAGTTTAATGAAACAATTTTTCACTGCAGCAGCTGTCAATGAATTGGTGATATATATCACCTCATTGATAGCAAATTTTGATAGACAACACTGTGACATACCTCCAAAAAAAGAAATGCACAATGTTTCAAATAAACTTTCAAATTTCATAACTGTTACTGTGCTTTTGAATGGAAAAAACGCAGAGCTGACTCAGATGCTGAGCTTTTACAAGAGATATTTATCCTATAACATTTTTCCAAATTATCTTTTATTATGGTGAACTTCAGAAAACACTTGTTTGAAAAAAAAATTAGCAGGAGAAATTAAAATATGTATAAAGTGCATAACTTATTATATTCTTGCATTTACCAATTTATTCAAGCTGGAGCATCTCCTGGAGAAGTGTACAAACTCATCACAGGTGAAATTGTCGAGCTGATACCATTAAAGGATGCAGCATTGAAACCACCAAGCAACAGAGTCAGTTTATTATTTTTTAAAAAGTTGCTGCTTAACAGAATTCTACAATTCATAGCATGCTGAGCGATAGGGAAATATATACAATTAAGGGAGGAAAACCCTCTAAAAACCCATTAGGAAATGGAAAGGTGTCTTTGAGAGGCAACAAGTCATTCATTCATTTTGCTCTAGTTGTCAATATCCACATCTTAACAGCAGAATTCTAGGTCAAGAGGCAGTAGCCTAGAATGCTTTCAAATTAGAATAGTTTTGATTTTTTACATGTTTTCTTCTTTAGAGATGTATGGTTGTCCTATATTAAGGATTTCAGAAAGGGCTGTTGACTCCTGTGTAAGGATACTAGTACTTTCATACCTTCTACTGTTCCAGGAGCCTTCAGATATCGTTGACATTTTTCAGACTGTTGAAATGCACTTTTTTCATATACAGGATTAAAATTTTCTTCATTTGGTTCATGTGGGAGAATGGTCTGCAGCGATGGTAGAACACAGAAAATAATTAACAGACTTTAAAAAAATAAACATATGTTTGGAATTGATATATCCTTGGGGCAGGGACTGTCTCTAATTAAATGTTTATACAGTGCCTAATGTAATCAAGCCAGGAGCTGGTTGACTGTTATGCATGCCACAGTCCAAATATTTAATAATAACAACAACAGTTCTGCAGTCAATTTGATCTTACTTTTGATATTTACAAGTGTTTTCCCAAGACACGCTGCAGTTTTCTGCAATTTGAAGGGCTTCAGGCTCAAGTTCTGCAGTCTGTTCGGTTCTACCATATCCATCACTGGCACTTAACGTCTTGATCCACATTCTATCTTTTGTCTTGTGTGTCAAATTGGGGAGGGGATGCACCTGTATTGCAGGTGCTGGGATAGATATACAAATGATTTGTCTAGTATGCAGAAGAAATAAGTGCCAGTATTACCAGTCAAAGTTCCGGTAAGTACCACTATAGCACAACTCAGATATAAGAAAACATTCATTTTACCCGTATTTGCATGATGGGTTCTGTGATGAGCTGTTCTCTGAAAACATTCTTCTGGATCCAGGATGTATTTAGTTTGTTGCAGTAACTGGGGCTACTAAGGCATAATTCACGCATTTGACTTTATTAAGGGATTCATCTTTACCAGGACAGTCCCGACTTCCACTCAAACCAGTTGTCTTTGCAGAAGACAGAATTCTGAAAAAAGGAAACTTCTGAAAACCTTTGGGAGCCAACATCTGCAGATAAAGACTTCTTCCTGTGGGTGGCTGGAAAGCCAATTCCCACTTACATGACACTCTTTGCATGCCAAAAATATAAGGGCCCTTGTTCCCTAGGCCAGCTTCTACAGTTAGGAAGAATCATTCATGGAAGCAAGTACGGTTCATTTGTTGATTAAGGATTAAGAGATCATGATACCTACTAGGAGTTAAGTTTTACAGTAATTATTCTACTGAAAATTACAAGAGTTCATGTTAATTTCCCTCATAGTTCAGATAGCAGCTATTTCAGCTTGTGACACTTTAGTCACGAACAAGCCTGTATGTTCTAACCTCAGAGTAAGTTTTCACTTAATAGCAGTTCTTTGACTTGGAATCACCCTGTGCTGCACTAGGGCCCCTTTATACTTGAGACTTCCTGACTGTTGTTTAGCAGGAGTAGTGTTAGTATGCTGTTAATAAGCATGCCAAGAGGCATGAAAGGAGAGGTTACTTACTAGTTGATTTTCAAGAGTTATCCCTAAACAGTCACACAACCAATCTGCCTTCCCTTTCAGAGCTGTAGCTCTGATTTTTAACAATTAGCAGGCATGAGAAAAGGAGCAGCAGCCCATGAGGCACAGGGCACTTGCTGGAAGACATGGAATAACTGATATTGCTCTCATGTGAGAATGCTACCACATCCCCTATGGAACAGCATATACTACATATACTGACAAAACTTTGTGCTGAAAATACTGAATCCGATTACTTAAATGAAAAGAGGCAGTTCTTGAAGAAGTTATTAATAAGTAATCCCTCTTTAAATTTAGGTGTATTCCTGACTATAATTTTTTCCAAGTGTTTGTACTTAGATTATATTCAGTCACATTTTTATATATTTTAGTGGTTCTAACATCTGTAGTATTGAATATGAGCTTATATTTTACAGTTTTTGCTTTCGCAGTGCAATGGTGTAAAGGTCTGTGTAAATGGGTAGAGAACTGAAGAATTAGACCAATATATAATAGCATACCAAATATGACAACTGCCCTCAGCTGCATAATTTCGGAGGAGGCCTTATAACTGGAGGGATTTTGGAGGGGAAAAAAACACAAAACTTTTCAAGCGTGATTCATTTTTAATTACAAAAGAGAATGCAAAATACTTGCTTTTATTAAAACCAAGAAGGAACAGAAACAAAAGGTATTCATGAAATGCCTTAGTGTCATAAGATTAGAAGCATGACACTGAAAGCTAAGAGAAAAATCTAAGTAGGCAAGACAAAATCTTTTTTTTTTCTATAATGTTTGTCTTTTAAAAAAAGCCTACAAGGTTTTTTTGTTTTTTTTTTCCTGTAAACATTTGCTTCATTGTACTGATTCTCAGAATAGCAAGAATTGTTAGTTGAATGAATAAAATAATTGCAAAATAGATGGGAACAAACATACAAATAGGCTAATTGTTGCACTAGAATGTATCTGTTGTCAACCTTTGCAGGTTGTCCTGCAGTTGTATGGTTCCATTGGCCCCAAATGGTTCTTACAGAACATTTATTTTTTATTTCTTTGGACCAGGCCAGTATTATACAGGCAGCATGAGGGAATAATGAGCTGCATTCTTTGGGTTACTGAAGAGTCAGCACAAATTGTAGGAACAAATAACAATCAGACAAGGCGGTGTTTTATAACATCAAGACTGCAATCCATCTTTGGGATCTTTCAAAGCTGGGCTAATAAAGGCCCACTTACAATCCCCAGTAGCATACAGTTTAATTAAATTTGTCCATTAGAGGACTTCTCCCCCTCCCTTTACATTTTAGGAATTAATTCTGCTTTCTGCCTGTCATTCTTTCTACATCACAGATGCACTGAGCCTTCGTAACCGACAGGTCATCTGCATTACGCTGAAAGTCCTCCAGCACCTGGTGGTGTCAGCTGACATGGTGGGGGAGGCCTTGGTGCCCTATTATCGGCAAATCCTCCCAGTCCTAAACATCTTTAAGAATATGAATGGTGAGTTATCCTAACAGACACTGTGTCTTTCAACCCCTAAGGTAAAAAGGGGCTTGAGGCAGGGTTAATTAACAATGTAGTTAAGATTTATAACTGTATATAAACTCAGATCCATTTGGAGCTCTAAATAATGTACCCCCCCTCTTGATATTCCCTAAGGATGCACTAGAATTAACAATTTCATTTATTACTCCTTGCACGTACAGCTTATTTAACACAGTAGAGAAGCACTGAAGCAGTTCTGTAATCTTCCAATAATTAAATTGTAAAGTTTTGTAACAGTCTTTTGAATACATTAATAAATTACAAAGGTTTTTTCCTCTCTCCCAGTTTGTTAATAATAGGTCTAGTCTTTGGTTCTGTTCTGTACTTGTTCACTAGCAAAACTCACTGTTACCTGCTACTGCTTATTGGTTTAGGAAAGAATAAAAATAAAAGCAGGAGTCTGTTTAATTAATTTGATGGACAAGAGAACTCCTGCTGATAGAAAACTCTTAAGTTATGTAATATCTAGCAAAACAGTGAAGTTTGAAGTTATTACTTCTTACTTAGCAGGTTAGATTGTAGAGGTATTTAGAACTAGTTTATATCCACAGTTGAGTAGGTTGGTTTTTTTGGAGTGGAAAACTGTATTGCCAGTTCCAGTCTTTAATAACTATAGTACTCTGAGTATCATATACTGTGAGTGTATTTAGACTACAGTCGCAGGGAGAAATCAACATAAGGTATCTTGCTTTCTCCAAACTAATATTTATAATCTTGTTTCTGTAGTAAATCTGTCAGTGCACTATCTGTTCAATTACCTCCCAAGTTACTGCCTTCAACATTTATGTTATTCACATGTAGCTGTATAGGTTAAAAGAAATTAATTCCTCAGAATATTGCAGATGAAATCCTGGCAGGTTTTTCAAGAAATTCATGGCATTTCAGTAGTTATCTGCAGGACTACTTCCTATTATACTTTCTGCTTGTGTTACTACACAGTCTGTTGTCTTATACTCAAGCCCTTTTAATACCTCTGATTGAAAAAACAACCTGTCCAAAGACTGAATTGGAGAATTAAATGAGATTTAGATTTTAGACAACTTTAAATACATGCATGTACATGATTTTTATTAGTAAGAAACTTTCAGTAACACATGGAATACCACAAATACAAGGTCGTTCAGATGAGAACTGTGGCTTTCTAGAAGTCATGGCATGAAAGAATAGGAGTAAAATCCATAGATTGAGCTCAATGAATTTCAGCGGGGCTCCCTGTGAGTTAGAAGATTCCCCTTAAAAGATCCAGTTTCAGGTCTGGCACAAAATGCAGACTGTAAAAACAAGGGATCTCATTGATTAATGAATATACAATGCACATTTTTCCAAATTTCAGCCTGAAGTAGGCTATAAATTTTCTTGACTAAGCTGAGCTGCAGTGGTTTCGGATGAATGATAGGGAAAGCTCATGTATACTAAGTACATAATGTAATAAGGTATTAAACATGTCCTAAACATGTCCTGAGTTTAGATTAAATTGATATCAAACTAAAACATATTTTCAACATTTTTGCATGATATCTGTGCTGGGTGAATTTGTGCCTAGTATCAAAGTACACTAAGCCTTCATATTTGGCATAGAAGAGCTGAAAGATGATACTCATCCATCAATAGACATAAAAAAAGAGAATAATTCTATTTCCTATCTTTGCTAAAAATGAATAATCAGTAGTGACAGTCCAAACATTTAAGCTTGTGGCTTCTAACTTTAGTTAACAAATCTTTTTACGCTGTGTATTAAATTTAAAAAACTGTAAGTAGGCATAGGGATTTAGTGTATACTTTCTGTTTTCAAATAGAGATTTATGGAAGTCACCATAGTGTAAAAGACATTGAATTAGAGCTATATATAAAGCTAAGAGTGCGTTTTGCTTATATATAAAATTATGTTGTCCTAAAAGGTATTTAGGACAACACAGAGGGAAAAATAATGTGAAAAATTCTAAGGAAAAGAAATAGTTCATAATTAAGGTCTTTGATTAAAGCATTACTGTTTTAGGAATTAAGGTTTTGAATGTTCAGCATTATCAGCAGTGAAACGGGTAATAGTTGAGAGGCCTACCGTATGAGACTGTTCAACTTACCCAGTATTTGCATTCTGATGATAGAGGAATATTCCTCCTCTCCTTCCTCCCCTGAAAAACTTTTATTGCTTTCCTCCTTCACTGGTGGTTGGGAGGAAATGTATGGTTCCTTCTCTCTTCTCTCCAGCACCCATATACTTAATAGGTAATTGAGGTCCTGGTCTTTGCTCCCAGTTCTGTTGAAGGTTTAAAGACTGAATCAGGCTATATTTTCCACTGCTTATTCTTAACGGTTGAAAGATAGGGAGAGGGACTCTCTATATGCTCTTCTTCCTTCTTTTCTACATACTTTGAGAAAAGAGGAACTATGTTTTATATTGCAGGAATGCTGTGGGCTGAGATCTGTTAAGTAAGTGTGACAGTGAAAGTTTGAGCAGAATTAGGGTAGCTGGGAGGGGCTCCCTTCTAGAAATGCCATCTCACTACATCAACCATATGTATCTGCTGGAAGCAACTCTTTCTTAAATTCAGTATCTATGAATATCACTCTCAATAGATAGGCTTCAAAGCAAGAGAACATGGCAAAAAATTGTTAGTAACACCTTAAGGTCAGCATCAAGTGAAGGTAGCTGGTGACCAGTTCAGAAAAAACGAAATGATGTGATTCTTCATGCAGAGTGAGGTCAAGCTTTGGAACCCTTAACCCCCAGTTCTGTGGAT